TTAAATTAAATGGACTCCCGCTGATTATTTAAGGCTATTCATCTGCAGACGAGACTGCTTATAAAAAACGAACCCTGACCTCTGAAAATACCTTATTCATAGAGTGCCTTATACCTAAGACCGTCGCCTAAGGCGACATAGTGCACGTTGCGATATCACAATCGATGCATGCTGGGTGAGAAGGAGAAATTCTGATTGAGGTAACCAAGATGGCTGCGTTGAGTGTAGATTTTCTGCGGTGTTTAAAAACAACACTTCGCTGCCTACTCCGCCCACAGTCCCTTAAGGCACTGTGCTTCGATGTTATTTTTAATTAACCAGGGGTTCGAAATGTGTGCATTTTGTCACAGAAAAATAAGATATCGGCAGCGGTAAATACCAGTAATTTCCCCGCAATGGCGTCAGCTGACAATGTTACGGTGGTCGTAGCGCCGGAGTCATTGCGTTAGCCCCGACTTTAGTTTTGACACAGTGACAGAGGGACTATGGACGGTTTTCAGATGCCTTCATATTTTGATAACTCGCAATCTCACAGACTTTACAAACTTAAAGTGCCTGTGCAATGCCCACCCTTACGTTTCCCATTTTAGATCTGTGTCCCACTGAAATGGGCAGTTATTGATTTTTTTGCTGAAAATGATTACTCGTATCCAAGTTAATTTGGAATATTTCTCGTGTTGTAGCCACGCCCACCTATCCTGAAATGGTCGACTGTTTCCGGATTTCCGACTCTCGCCGAAAGTGCGCCACCAAATGCCAAAAAGTCATACCCCTGAGCCGTAATAACACTGGTCATTCAGTATACTTTTAAACGATATACATTTTTCGATCGGCGTTTTTTTGTCTTTTTTTTTTTGTCTATTTTATTTATTTTTTTCGAGAGAGAGATTTTAGATGTTGTGTTATGGGCAGTTGCAGTGAAACGTATAGTCATAGTGTAAGTATTCACACGTTTCTAATCGATTCGAAAGTGCGACATCAGTGGACGAAAGCCACTTAACCTCAGCTTCTTTTTTTTGGAAAAACTGTCCTCGTCCACGAAAAAACAACTAGGTTTAAAGAGAAACGCCGACAACATAAACCTGGCGCAACACTTTTGAAAGAAATAGAATCCGGAACATGATCACAGAGGCAGATTTCAGAAGAGAGAGAGAGACGGCAAGTGTTTCAAATGAGTTGACTTTTTTTGCAATCCTGATTATCGTTTTATAGAGACCATTTAGTCCCTGTTAAGTAAAGAGTAGCAATAATTTTGACAGTGACATGAAAACAAAACGTCAGACGAACAGGAAATTACACAGCCCTTACACACTGCTAATTGTTTTCATTTTCGAAGGCTAAAAGTTTCTGAATTGTTTGGTGATTGGTGTTGAATGTCGAATTCACACCTCTGTTCTTTTTTTACCTCCATGCTTGCAGCTTGATCTGCATAATACTTTATGAAATAAGAATCCGGGCTTGGTCAATGTGTTTCCACTAAATAAAGTTTTAATATGATGTTATAATTATGACAATCACGCCATGGATCACGCTAACTCGAATCCACTCTGAATTTATCTGTATGTTTGTCGATCTCGATTATTTTTGTTATCCAATTAAACACCGCTTTAAACGCACTTGCCCTCGTCGTGACCCGACGCGTTCACCTATTTCAACAAAATTTCAATTTATTTCCACGCGGCTGTCATTTATTTAGTAACTGTGATTTGTCATTTTTTTAATTATTTTATAGTGATCACTATAGTCTAATGTTTAGAATGTCAAAATATGTTCTCTTTTATTTTATTTTGAAAGTTTTACTCAGACGATCGATGAAATAAAACAGTGTAGTGACGTGCCTAGTAACCTATTTTGTCCAGCGACAGTGTACAAACGTGCGCCGGTGACGATCACGGTGACTAGCTACACCAGAACGGACATATTTCGCATCTAACTCAACCCCATGC